AAAAAAAAAAAAAAAAAAAAAAAAAAAAAAAAAAACATACAGACGAATTGAGTACCTCCTTCTTTTGGGAAGTCGGTCAAAAAACAACGCAAAAATAGATCTTGAAAATACATGAGATAATGAAAATTAAATTAGTAAATGTAAGAATCTGAAATCTTATCTTCCCAAGATGCGATGTACGTCTTTTTTGATAACAATTTTGATATCAGTCTGTTCAATGTTTCTACGTACACTTTAAAGATTTCTCCGTGATGTAATATGTCATTTTATTATACAAACATATTAAGTTTTGAGATCTTAAGACAGAGAAATGAAATGTTTTAGAGACGAAATTAACGAGAAGGAATGACATGTCTGCCTGAGTATACTTCTGATGTTTGCTGTAATGTAACCGGCGCGTACGAAATGTTTAAGATCCGCTTCAGTAATCGACTGCTAGACATTGTTTAGGTTGGTAATAAACTATTTAGGAACTCAGACGTCTTAGAACTATTTTAGCCGAGGCAAACTCTGACGTCTACTTCCACGTACATTACCCCGAAAGCAGTTACGTAACTACTATTTTAATGACATCGTCAACTTTACCAATTGGTAGATAGTATTTAACATTTAAGATGATTTACGAAACATCTTTATCTAGTTTCAATCTCGAGCAAAAGTGAAATGCCAATTGTCTAACAGTTAAAGACGGAGACTACCTATCTTGCTGATTAGGTTCGGTTCTAGCTATCACATGTGCATATGTTCCTAGCATAAGATTCTAGCTTATTTGGAAAGGGTACAAAAGTATTAGTACATTACCAAAATATAACACACTAGCTGTTGCTCGCAATTGTGCCCGCATGAAATTAAAAAAATAATAAAAACCTATGTTACTCACAGATAAATTACCTTTCTAAGGGCGAAATTTTTAAAATCGGTTCAGTAGTTTTGCGTTATTTCAATAAATGCAAAAATACAAAACTTTCCTCTTTATAATATTAGATTGTAATTTGGCGATATTAGAGCTTCTTTTTATAATACAAATATTTCGAACGTCTAAAAAAAATTTGATAAGAAACGAATGCCAAAACAGCAGAGACGAGGACGATCAAAGTCATAAATATTCATGTAACGTGCCAGAAACTGATAAAACTGGTACACAAATACTTGTAGATTTTTTACAAATATTTTGCATATTGTGTATTGTAGTCATTGTATGTTTCATAAGGAATCAGTAAAGTTTTTTATTTATTTGTTAGTCGTAATTACCGTGGTCTTCGATTGCCAAGACAAATACACGAAAACATTGTGTTCTCTCATTGTCTATAAAACAGATAACCAAATCATACTGTTTTAACTTTCGTGAGATATTATCTCAAACTATTCGGCGCCGTCACTGGAAGATCAGTCAGTTGAGCCATTCTATGTTCGCTTTTTTATAGTAGTTTAAGATTACCAAATGTTTTTGTACTTGAGTTTTTTTCATTTTTGTTACAGCCATATTTAAAAAATGCTTCCTATTGTTATTGTACCCCGTCGTCGTCTCAATGTGTACAAAATGTTTAAACAAGTGTATCTTTTAAAGTGGTACAACGCCATATTCCCTAGTGTACATACACATGACAATATTAAAAAAACGATAAATTTTAAAAAGCAATAAATTTAATAAATCGCATAGACTAGGAACATCAAGTGTATAAAATTAGTTAATAATCATACATCTATAGTTAAATTAATTTAGAGCTGCTCTTTTAAGGACTAACTTATGCAGACATAAATACTTTTAGTACAATCAATATTAAGTGAACATAACCATGATTTAGTTCTTTTCGTTTCTTAAACAGTTTTATACAAGCCAACGTTTAATTGTTCAAACAAAAAAAATAGATAGTAGTTATATAGAGTTTAATTCGACAAGATGATAGCAATTAAAAAAAAAATATAATTCCAATATCAGTTTTGATGTCTACAAACATCGAATGGGATAAGATATGGAACTTACAAACAATATGCATAAATGCATAAAGAAGTTATTATTGTTTCAGTAAATAAAGTATACTATTATTCTGTTCGATATCGTTTCAACATTTTCGCTCGTAATTATTTACCGTTTCCACCGCGGAAACTACATATATTCGTCCTTCTTACGAGTATTTTTCTTGAAAAACAGAGATGACTATAATATGTTACAAAGCTTCGACAGTGGAATCAACGGTCTTAGATAAAGGATTAAACTGGCGCAACTAAAATCCAATCAAAACTTACTCTGACGTCGAAATCTTCTATTAGACACGTTTTTAACTCTATAAGCTATCAATCACGCAGAGAAAATTGTTTTGTTACCAATTACTGTATCTTAACAATCGCTTCAACAACTTAAGCTACTTTATAAACTAAAATACTGTTAGGTGACTATGAAGTTGCCGTTTATTTCTTTAGAAGAAATCACCTCGGCGCATACGCATCTTTAAAGTGTTGGATGACGACTGCTATGGCCTTTGGTGAACAAGCTAAGCCTGTGTTAAAAGTTTTAATACAGCTGTAACTCTGGAAGCATTCTTTATGCTTGATTGTAGGGTGTCTACAACATAAGAGGATGGCGGCTTCGCAAACTCCCGGAGTCTTTATGGGCTTCGCAGTGGTCATGGTTTCTGTCTGTAACTGGAAGAAAAATGTATTGTTTTATAAATGCTGCAATTAAATGTAGCACACATTATTAATATTAAAATTAGTATGTCCTATTAGAAACAAAGGGTATATAGCTTGACCAGGAAGATAAGAAACCTCACCATGTTGCAGAATACGTTAATTATCAAAAATGCTTGTTACCAAAACATCAATTATGTTGAGATTAATAAAGAAAAAAGAAAAGGTATACCTGTACAGTTTTAACAAATGTTGTTAAGCTCATGCATACATTTTACTTAAGACAACATTTAAAAAAGCTTTAGTTTTGCTAAAATTGTATACTGAAAGAAAATATTGTTAGTACACAGAAAAATTCAAATACTTCACACAATGTAAGACACACAAATTAGACTGATAATCTAGAATTATAACTAATTTTTAAAACAAATTTCGTTCATTTGTAAGATACAATAATTAGAGATGAATATTTTCATATTAACAGTGGCTTTTGCCTGCGAATCTGTCCACGTGAATGAAAAAAATACAATAGTGGCACATAAATCCTTTCATGTTATTCTCTATATCTATGTAAAATTTCATCGAGATCCGTACAGCAGTTTAGGCTACAAAATAACAAAAATCAATCCGACATTCCATTCATCATTCATTAACCTTTCGCATTTATAACATTAGCAATTAGTAAAGAGTAAGATAGGTAATTAAATTGTTTTAATGAGATAATAAAGTAAAAGATTAAATACATATTGTGCATGCAGCTGTTAGTTTATTCCAACTCAATATGTAAACTTTTTAATACGAAAACATTCTCCAATCTTTGCCTATATTTGGTTTTTGTTGGTTTATCTGTCACTCCTATTTTCAATTATTTTATTCGGCAATTTCTACAAATCACTGAGTGATAGTAAGAAGTCTTTGTTCACTTGATATAAAGCTTGAGTTGAAATAAACGATATTGCACAGAGTGTGCTTATTTTCTAAGAGTATTTAAAAACAAGACGAGATGTATCTTTTGTATAAGGTGGAAACCATGCCATCTGTATTTGCAAGGTATTCACATTGGGAAGCGACCGCTGCCCCTTGACATCCACATTGGCAGATGCTTTGCCTTTAATTGATGGTGGAGGACCCACATCAACAAGATTTTACCCTTCCTTTGCCGCCAAATCTACTTCCCATCATTTTCTTAGAAAAGCACGTAGTATACTCTGTTTTATCTAGTATACTCTGTCGTCTTGTTTTTGAAATACCATAGAAAAGATTTATAATAATTTTAATACAGTTGTAACTCACCCCAGCTTGAACACTGCCATGCTCGACGGGCGGAAGCGGTCTGCCTTGTGGTGAGTTAGTATTGACGGGCTTGAATGAGATCGGCCTTCCTTCATCGTTTTCATCCTCATCAGTGTTAATTACATTATCATCCGGTCCATTTCTGTTGTTAAGGTCAGGTCCATTATTTGCATTGTTATATGAA